CAGTCAATTACAATAAGCTAAGCTCCTTGTATAACTCCCTCTAAAGCATAATTCAATATAAAGCACAAGTGTAGTAGGCAATATAAGTTGACAATACGTAAAACATTCTTCTAGTAATGATCATCAATACAAGAAGCAAATAAAAAAGAACAAAAATAGGCAATAAACAACCCGCATGGTAGAAACTAATGCTTCACTCACCCGGCACAACTTTTGGGGGATCCTCCTTGGGATTGGAAGCACAAACGTACCGCTGGCCCTTGTACAAAACCATGCGTGGAGGATCAGGCGCATAGGACCCTCCGTCTGGCAAATTAATATAAAAACCAATAACATCACCTTCTTTATATCCTTCCTCCCCATACTTCTCCCTCAATGCCTTGTGCACTTTACTCCCATCAATGTCCCTGTATCCAAAGCTATTACCATCATACCCCACAGGCGCCTGCAAGTCCCCTTTATCTGTGGACCACCCCAACCTTGTATGCCCCGTCTCACCCAAATGCACCACCTTAATCTCGAAATACCATGCGCCTTCTTCAACCCCCCTTGTCGCCCTAACCATTCTGTAGCCCTTCGTGCTGCCCGCACTCAATCTATCCTCTCCTAATTCCACCTTTTCAGCCTTATAAAACTTGGATAGGCAAATCTTCGAATCCGGGCTATCATCACTTTTGTCAGGAAACCTCGGAATAGGGGTTATCAAGACCTTATCTTCAGTTGCCGTGTTGGTACCTGTGGCATTTTTAGAATTGTGGTTCCCATTGAAGATATTTTTTGACTTCTTCTTCCCCTTCCTTGTGGTGGTCGTCCACACATCCTTGCTCTTCTTCTTCAACTTCTTGCTTGTTTTCGCACCTGTGGCTTTTCCATTTTGGGCGGGGGGTGTAGTTCCCTCCATGGCCGAGGGTGTTTCGGCAATTTCATTCTCTAGGAGCTCAGGGTTGGGCAAGTCCGGTAGTTGTTTTAGCTTCTTCGGTTGGGACATTTCTTCTTCCTCCTCCNCAATTTCATTCTCTAGGAGCTCAGGTTTGGGCAAGTCCGGTAGTTGTTTTAGCTTCTTCGGTTGGGACATTTCTTCTTCCTCCTCCTCCTCTTCTTCCTCCGAATCCGGGTGCGAAATTGGGGAATGTTGGGATCCATTTTGGTCGGATTCTGGAGCTAGTGGAGTTCCATGGTTGGAAATTTCATCGGAGGAAATTTCTTCGGATGCGAGAGTTTCGGGCTCTTCTTCGATGCCGTTCATGGGCTCGGATCTCGTGTCCAGTGTATTGGTGGCAGTGGGGGGAACATCGGCTTCATTGGACTTTTCAGTGGAGGGCGGCGGCGTACCAACGTCGTTCACATTTTCGTCGCCGTCCACCGCAGCAGCCGGGAGGGTAACCATACTGTAGTGGGAGTGGTTACTACTGGTTTGGGTTTGGGCTCGAGGAAATTTGTGCAATATGAGACCAAAAGTGTGTGTGGGCTTCGGCCCGTCGCGAAGATTAGTGGACCCATATATTAAAGGAGGA